AGAGTTTTTTGATAGATTTCAAGTGCTTTTTCGTGAGATGAAAGTGCCTTTAAGTACTCTCCCATGCTGCGATACAGATGGCCGATGTTGTTGTATGACTGTGCCAAATCAGGATGATTTGAAGGAAGTGTATTTTGCCGAAATTTAAGTGCTTTTTCATAATATGAAAGTGTTTTCAAGTACTCTCCCATCTGATGATACACCAAGCCGATGTTGTTGTATGAGTATGCCAAATCAGGATGATTTGAAGGAAGCGTTTTTTCTCGAATTTCAAGTGCCTTTTCGAAAAATGAAAGTGCTTTTGAGTACTCTCCTATGCTGTGATACACCAAGCCGATGTTGTTATATGAGTGTGCCAAATCAGGATGATTTGAAGGAAGAGTGTTTTGTCGGATGTCAATTGCTTTTTCGTTATAGCAAATAGCCTTTTCATAATCACCTTGATTCCAATGGACAAACCCCAGCTGATTATAAGGAAGCCCTTTTTCGCTCTCATCAGTTGTCTGTTCGAGTAATACATTATAAAATTTTTCAGCTTTGTTAAATTGACCAATTTTAAGCAATAATTTACCCAGTCTTTGCCATCCAGTATCACCACCAGCTTCTTCTCGTATCCGATCAGTAAGTAATCGCAGTTGTTGATCATCGTCAGACGTTAATTGTAATTCAACTTGATAAAGTTGAGTGTTATCGTCCATTTGTTTAATTGCACTGACGCGAAAGACGGTGTGCATTGAGAAGAGAATTTCTTTTTCTCCCTTAAAATAACTCATCTCTTCGATAGAGGCAAATGGTGTTGATTTAATAGAAGGATCAATGGACATTCTAAAGAGAACGCCCACGGCATCCTGTTTTGTCGAAGCGCATACAGCAAATTCGAGAGACACTTCTTTATCGGTACTAGTGGACAAGAAATTGTTAAATGACATAAGTCCACCTTTTGTTTTCTGAAGTTTTTCAAAGTCCGATTTCATAAGAACTTGCCCTCGATAAACTATGAAAGGTTCGTTATAATAACTGTTCACCTGCTGTTGATATAGCTGTTGGATCTGTTGGTGAAGATCATGGATGAAAAAACCCATATTAATAATGGTATCGCCTTCTATAGAGCGTAAAGCATAGTTCAGCATAGAATAGATAAACGATGGACAAGTGTACCACCATATAGCTGATTGAGGTTGGTAATTTCTCCCAAATTCATCAATATTCTTTGCCGATCCGCAGTTATGATGTCGACAGTAGGCAATAAATTGTTTGATCGCCTGTTCATCATATTTCATATCAAGAAGAATTGTTTTAAACAACTGGGTATACATAAAAGTTGGCTCCAACTGATTTAAATTATCAATTGAAGCTATTTCATCTACCGTGACAAAACTCATGGCTATTGAGTTTTGATTGTGTTGCTTTACATCTACTTGTAATTCTTGACATATGTCATCAATTTTGTTATGAACGCTTTTGATTTTTTGCCATTTTTTTGTCCATTCGTCGCATAGGGTTTCAGTATTGTTGAAGATATAGATACTATCCAACTGAGGAATATCATTAATGAGAGGCATTATTTGTTGAGACATAGTATCCTTGACAATGAGAAAAAACGGGATTTCTTCTTGAGCATCCGTAAGAAAATCAATGCATGCATCTCGTTGCGTAAAGACATTGACAACACTAGTAATAGTTCGTATTTTTTTCAATGCATTTTCATAATCTTCGTTTGTTTGGTCGTTGTGGGGATCTAACAATAGAAAAAGATAGTTTTGTGCCATACGTTGTCGTGGTTGACGAATATTGGATGATGCCGTTGATTTAAATGATACAGCAGCATGCTTATTTGATACTGATCCACTCATTCCGGTCTTGTTGTAATTTGTGGTCGAAGTTGAACTTATTAGTAGATATTGATGCTTAAATTAAAAAAATCACTGTTCTTTTTTTATATAGACAGTGATTGATTTTTTTCTCAGTGTTTTGACAACTTCGGATGCGCGTGTTTTTTCTTGTCACTCAAGGACACACTTCACCTGGTTACTTTTGAAAATAATATTACGAAAAGGAAGAAACAGTTAGAATGAAACAGATTCATCGATGCGAAACAAGTACGACAGGAATCACATTTCGAATACGATCGATCAATCAAAATCAAAGCATTCAATACCTACTTAGATCCATAAAATACCCGCTATCCTCTTTATTCACTATTCCCAGTCCTCGTCAGAGAAATCGTAAAACGTATCAGTTCTCCCGACATATTTCTGGCTTCCAGAGTTTTCTGGATTTCAGTCTTTTTTTCTTCCAATTATATTTCACTCATTTTTATTATCCTAAAGAGTTATTAATCATTCTGTAGGTACATGTTTAGTATTTTCTTTTATTGGTGTACCTGAAGGAGTGACTGAGCAATCTATTACCGGACAGTTCGTCGCATGAATAACTAATTCGTCGGTGACTTTTTCAGTCAATTGTTGGAGTATGAAAATTGAAATAATAGATAAAATATTATTTTTCATCTGATTTCTTTTTTGTTCTTGATTAAAATAAAACATAACTGACGGGATTTTTCTAATAAAATATCTAATAATATGACTAATATATTATTGATATGTAGTAAATATACAAACGGCTATTAAAAGGAACGACCTTCTTAAATTATTTTCTCAGAAATTATAATAGACATATTTTCAACTGCAAAAGGGAATCTATTTGCCACGTTTCATCTATTCTACTAACAGATTTAATGATATTTCAAAATATTTTATCTTAAACTCCGCAAGATGCAGATATTTTTTTAATGGGTAAAAACGTTTTAAACGATTAATTAATATATTGTATAATATTGATAATCTGTTCATTAGTTCTACAATATTTTTTAATTTTGATTTCTTTTAAGAGTACAAGTATAAATATCCTATTTCATCAAAATCCGTACCCTCGAAATCAGTAACATTCAAATTAATCTTTGGTCTTACATAAAGACATTTGCATTTATTCAATTCATCAATAAACAATAATATGATATACATACAATTCTTAATAAAAAAAAAGGCCGAACTGTTGAATTCAAGTGGACGGATATTACATTGAAACAAAAAACCGGCAATGAATACAAAAGAACAAATCAAGATTACACCTGAGACAAAACAAATCGACATATAACTAATAAACTATCAAGAAGAAGAAGAAGAAGAAGCAATTCAATGAATAAGAATCTATCAGAAAAGAAAAAATATATAATTGTATTCATACAAGTACAAAACAAATAATGAGAAGTCAAAGACAAGTGTATTATGAATTATTTTCATGTTTTTTTATTTTGTTGTTGTGATTGTTGTTGTTAGAGAATAATTTTAAACCACTACGTACAAATTTTTTAATTCCACTGGGTTGAGTTGGAGTTTGTTGCGGATTTTGTGGCCACGTTAATTCTTCCTCCTCATTTTCTTCTTGTTGTTCATTTATAATTGTTCGTGCCGTTGCATAGTATGTTGTTGATAATGAACTATCAAGAACTTTAGTTTTTGAACGATTATGACCCGGTAATGAATTTGTTTTTTGTTCAAATTGTCGTGCTAATGCTCGAACATTTGGTTGTTGTTGTTGTTGTTGGTCATCATTTTCACCTGAAACTATTGTATCAGCATCTTCTTCATCTGCATCATCTAAATCAGTTTTTTGTTGATCATCATGACGTTGCATAGCTGCCATTAAATCATCTTCACTTCGATACATTTTTGTATTAAAATTTTTATTTGTTGAATATGGAGATTTATGTGTACGTGTTAAAAGAACAGTTGGTGTTGATGAATTTTGACTAGCTAAGTATGTTGTCGATGCTGATTTTGGACGACGATCATCATCAAGTGTGGATTGACAATGTGGTGCTAATGGTGCAGTTTGTTTCGATGCTGTTGGAGTGATGTATAAACATTCGATTGATTTTCGTAATGGTGTATGATTATTGTCAGAAAATTTTGATTTAGATAAATTAGTTGAACTGTTAGAATCATAAATAATTGAACGACGTTGAGGAGTTGTTAAAGATGAAGTTGATGATACAGTCGAATAGATTGATGAAGATGTAGATGATGATGTACTTAAAGCATTTAAACAATCTTGAGCCATCTGAGATAGAAGACGATCAAGTTCGAATACATGCATATCAATAGTGGTATCAGGTCTAGATTTCATATGAAAAAATCAATAGATTTTGAATATGAAAAAGATTTAACTTACACTCCTTGACTTCTCATAGCAAAGGTCATTTTTTCAAATAATTCACGACGGATTTCTTTAATCATTGAATTACGACTTCTTACTAATTCATTTTGCATCTGTTTTTTTACTGAAGTTTCCAGATTGTCCATATAATGAGCTATTCCCACTTGAAGAGACACAAAACAAAATATAGATTAATTAATATTATCATTATATAAAACATTTAAACAGCATGCATTAGAAATGTACGAATATAAGATTTTTCTTTAATGTAATGTCTCTCATTCATTCGTTTATTCTACATAGTTTAGCGTACAAAACGAAGAATCCTTACTATCGGTATATTCGAGGATTATTCGTTAAAAAAAGATCTTATTTCGTACATTTCATTCAATCTGATAATATACCTCGATGATGAACATCAAAAATCATTTTGCATGTCAGTCGTAATAGCGCGAGCATTTCACTTGTAAACAATTCTAAAATGGATGCAGCAAACAAATAATATATTCATGCAATATATTACAAAATCTATAAACATAATCTCATGCAGCAAAAATTCAAACAAACTTTTTGTTTTTCAGTGAAACATAATAGCATCGAGCAATTTATTGAATGTCATAAGCATAAATGTGCATAAATGTTTTTTTTATTTCACATGTCTACCTCTCTCTTACTTGAACAACCGCTGAATTTCTTTTCAATATGGGATTGTTACCTCGTAATTTTTCTATAGTTGCTATATAATCTGATTTGATATCATTTAATGATAGATCAGTCTAGAAAAGTAAATAAATAATTTTTTTTATTTATAAATAAATCTATACTTGAACATATTCTGGTACACATATTGGTCGTGTTGTAGTACGTTTCTGTGCTGATACACGCTCTTGATGAAGATCTTGTTTTATTTCATCCATCGCTTTTGTATGTTGTTTGATCATATCAGCAATTTTCTTTTGTAACGAAGAAATCGTTTGTTGATATTCATTTTCTTGTTTCGTATGTAATTCCCGTTCTTGATTCAACCTTGAAGGAAAGAAATTTTTCACTAATATCAAATTAAAAGAAAACATACGATTCATTGGATTGTTCAAGTAATTTAACAAGATGATCTAGACGATTTTGTAAATTTTCTTGTCTATTTCTATTATCTTGTTCTAAAGTAACTTTTTCTCTAATTTTTGTAATATCGTCCGAATGATTTTTCTTTAATTGTTCAATTATTTGTTGTGTATCATTTAATTGTTGTTTTAATTGTTCGCAACGTGTTTGTAAACGTGTTTGTTCATGTTGAAATTCATTAATAACATTATTATATCCATCATCTAAATCTTTTTTCATAATTTGCATTTGTTTTGAATGTGTATCAATAAGTTTCGCTTGATTTTGATTTAATTCAATATTTTCACGATATAAACGATCAATTTCTGTTCGATACATTTTTTTAACTTCTTCAATATCTTGTGCTGATGTATGAGATTGAATAATTGGTAGATTCGTTTTTTGTTTTTCAAAATCAGTTGTTAATTGTTGTCGTAATTGTTGTAAATCATTTTGATGTTGTTTTTGATCACGTTCATAACGACGATTATATTCTTGTTCAAGATTTAATTTAATTTTTTCAATTTCTTGTTTTAAATGACTATCAGCAAGATTAAGTGCACGATTTGCTTCTTGTAAACGTTGTTCAAATTGATTTTTCTCGGTTTGAATTGATACAAATTTATCATGATATTCAATTTCTTTTTCCTAAAAGAAATGTTCGATTTTCTATGAAATATATATTATAAAATAATAACGATTTTCTTTCTTTATGCACTAATTTCGTAGATCTAGCTCACATTAACCTCTCTAGTTCATCGAGATATCATGGTTCTCGACACGACATTTGAAGATCGACATCGACCCTTAACCTCAGTATCGATCAACTCTGTAATTTACATAGCGATATGTACACCTCACTCAATCTTCGAAAAATCTCTTGAAAAGGTTGACTTATGTACTAGTTAAAGACTTTTGCACCTTACTGTAGATCAATTTTAATAAAGAGTATTCAATCAAAAAGCTTCCTCTAACTTAAGAATTCTTATGATAGAAGACATCTAGAAGTGTATTTCTAGTCAAGTACCTGAAGATTTTTTAATTTTGTTTGATTCAATTCTAGAATTTGTTGTTCGTATTGTTCAATTTGTTTTTCTAAATCATGTATAATTTTATCATTTTGTATTTGACGTTCTTTATATTCTTGTAAATGTTTTTCTGTTTCATCAAAACGTATTTTAATTTGATTATATTCACTTTCTTTATTCGTTAATATATCTCTTGTTAATCTTAAATCCATTTTATTTGTATCACGTTGTTGAGTAATTTTTTGTAGATTTGTTTCTAATTTTAATCGATATTCTTCATATTGACTAACAGCATTTTCATAATTATGTATACGTGTTTGTAAATCATCAACATTTTGTTTTAAATCATTATCACTCTTATCGATATGTTGTCTTGATGAAAGATTTAATAAATCATATTTTTGTTTTTCAATTAATTCATTTAATTGTTGAATTTCATTCGAATATTTTTCTTCAACAGTTTGTAAGTGAGCTTTTTCTTGATCAAATTGTTCAATAGTTTGTAATAAATTTTGATTTTCATCTTCAAGTGTTTTACAATTATGAATTAATTCTTTTTGTTTAGAATGTAAATCAGAATAATCATGTTTAAGTTGTTCAAATTCTTTTTCAACATAAGTTAAACGATTTTTAGCATCATCTAAATTAAATTTCAAATCAAATGAAGTTTTTAAAACAGATGCAAACATTTTTTAGATAAATTCGAAGCCTGTTAAACAATGTTTTATCTAGTTTTTTTCTCTCGAGAGCGCGATAGCAATTTCCGGGAGGGCGAAAACCTAATTTCTGGAGGGAAAATGTATAGTTTAAGCAGAAAAATTGCAATTTTTGAGAGGGCGCCGCCATCTCTACCCTTCCTCTAGATAAATCACTGCTGTTAAACTTCAGTAAATATACTTTTAATTGATATAGCACAATTAATTGACACTCAGTAAGAGATCTAAGGATATATCGATCAAGCCATATCACAAAAATTCAATTTTGCAAATTCCCTGAGTATCGTTATTGGAATAATTTTCAATAAAAAAACAATTTGATATATTCGTCGGGTAGGGTATGAGTAGTTGAGGGTGTAGGCATGGGCAACATCATATTTTTTTGGACTCGGAACTGGCTCGTTAGGAGTTTTATTTATTTTTAGTATCGTATCGGAATCGAAAAATTTAATTTTTTTACGTTTGGAACCGGATCGGAACTAGTAATAAGTTTTTTAAGTATCGCATCGGAATCAGACTCGTCGATTCTCGATTCCGGTTCCGATGTGGTATCACCTATGCCTATGAAGGTGTCAATATAGAAAAAATAAACCCGCCCTTTGTAGAAAGTTGACTTATGCTACAAATCAAAGACTTTTACATCTTACTGTAACTTTCCAGATGTCCTACTATACATAATGAATAATTAGTGATTTTTCTAGACATACCATTAGATCTTAATCGATCAAGCTCAATATTTAATTCATGAATCATTTTTTCATGATTAATTTTAATTCTTTCAATTTCTTGTTTTAATTCTTTTGTTTGTTGTTCTAAATCTTGATTATATTTTGATTTTAATACGTGATTATCTTGTTCATAATTTGATTTATAATTTAAAATTTTATCATTATAATCTTTTTCAAATGTTCGACGTAAATCATCTAATTTTAGTTTTATTTCATATTCAAATTTTGCTCGAAGATTATCTTCAATCGAATTTTTCTCTTGACAAACATCTAAAAAAAAATAAGTAAATAAAATTAATTTAATTTTTTTTATCAATACCAATATAAAGTTGTTTTGTTTTATCTAAATCTGTTATATCTTCACGTAATTGTTCAATAATTGTTTGTAATTCTTGTGTTTCATAATCATATTTTTCCTGTAAATTTTGATAATCTTTTTTTAATATTTCAATTTGTTTTGTTAAACTATGTATTTGTTCCATATGAATACTATTTGATATAATAATTTCATCTGAACTTGTACTATCTTTACGTGTTAATTCTTGAATTTGACGTTGTAATTCTTCATTGATTTCAATAAGATTTTTTTCATTCGATGCAAATTCATCAATACGATCTTTTAAATGATGATTTTCATTAATTAATGAATCATTTGGATTATCAAAACTTGTTGAATTATGTGGAACAACTTGTCGATTAATACTAAAACATTATAAAATAGAAGAAAATAAATAAATAAACTGAATATTTCTAACAAACCTTGATAATTCATTAACAGATATACTTGATATACCAAATAAATCATTATTCACTTCATGTTCTGTTATACCAAGACGTTCTCGTAATGTTCGAATTTCCGACTAGATTATAATAAGAGTAAAAATGAGAATAATGGTTATTATTAATATAACCTACCCATGTAGTCAACATCATAATAGATGAATGCATATTTTTTACTATCTCACATACTTATCTAATCTTAGATTAAAAAAAAAGTAGAGAACGAAAAAATAATTTACACTTCGTGGTTTATAGAAATTAATTTCGAAAATTCAAAGTTTCTTCAATTCGAAAAACATATTTTTTGTATCTTCATACAATCAATTTATTTTATCTTATCTCTAATAAAAATGTGTTGAATCTCGTTTTCTTCTGTTTAATATATAGTAGTTGATAAAAATTTATATCAGATAAGTGATAAATACATTTTATAAATATAAAGAAAACAAGTAACGCTCGTCCAAGGACTCGCTTAGCTCTTTCTCATAGAAATGCATCCTCTTCAAATTTACTGGAAAAACAATTTAAACTAGTGAAAAATCGGTATTCGATGTTTTTTTGACCCTGTGGACAGACAAGAAATCAATCAAACAATTTATTCTTGCAAGACTCTTCTCTACGAGAAAGAGAATAGATTGTAACGTCTTATACTCAGCTATATACTTATAAGGAAACAATCCTAACTGTTTTTGCAATAAAAGCTACTGAGTTAGAGGTTATTTACTATGCTAATTCCAAATATGGCCAACAGAAACACTTGGTAATGATCCCTTGTTAGTCTGACTCTTTATGATTCTACCTATATTCGCATACATATTTTCTGTAGTCACATACGTTTAGATCATATGACATACCTGTAATTCTTGGCATGTATATTCAACTTTTTCTTTTTCTTCTGTTAAACGCATTAATTGTCTTTTTGTTTCTGTTTCATTAAATGTTTCCATTGATTTACTTGATAATAAATCAGTATATTGTCTTTGACAGTCATGTAATCGTTGATTTAAATTACTAATTGATTCCATTCTTTCAAAGATAGCCTAAAAGATATATATGTTTCTAATAGCGAAATTAAAATTTAATGCATACTTTTTCATTATTTTTACAAGCAGTTTCAAGTTGCATACGAAGTTCATCAACTTCTGTTGTCTAGAAATAAATTAAATTGTCTTTCTATTATTTCTATAATAAAAATTTTTCTTCATACTTTTTCTTGTAAATTCATTTGTATCATTTGCAATTTTTCATTAAGATTAAGTATTTCTTGTTCATGTTTTTCACGTGTACTAGCTAAAACAAGTTCACAATCTTGTTGTGTACGTGCAATTGTATCAAATTTTTGTAATTCATTCACTCTTTTATGAAGTGAATCAATTATTGATTCAGCTTCATCTAATTTTTGTTCAAGCTTTATAAAGAAAACAATTTTATTATTATTTAAAAGTTTATTTTTATTTTACTTGTGTTTTATTTCCTTCTAATTGTTGAATTCGTAATTCAGCATCTTTTATTGTTCGTTGTAATTGATTATTTGTTTCAATTAATTCTTCACATTGTCTAGTTATAGACTGATAACGTTGATCAGAATCATATTTAGCTCCTTAAATATAAATTTAAACACAATTCATTCATTTTTTTATAACTTACGTTCACTTAATTCATTTTTATGTTTAAGTACACGTATTTCACTTTTATATTTTTCATTTAATTGCGTAGAAAGATTTTCAAGTTCAGTTATTCGTCGATCTTTAGCATTACATAAAATACGATATTTATTTATTTGATTTTGTGCATCAGATGAATTCATTGTTGATGTTTGATACATATATTGTGTTTGCATTGGATCACTTAGATCTATTGTAGGTAATGAATCAAAATATTGTACAGCTGTTGTTGATGCTGTATGATTTAATTGACGATTTGGATTTTGATAATGAACTAAAGCAGAACTTTTCGATGTAAATGGAATTTCTTGTTCAGTTTTATTATGATCATTAAATTGTTGATAACGTGCTTGGGTATATTGAGTATGATCATCAAACTGAATTGAAAAATAAATGATGAGATGAAAGAGATAAATAAATACATACTCGACGAACATCTGTTGTAGCTGATGGCGGAACTAATGGTGGTGGAGTGGATACAGCTGGAGTGGAGTATAAAGGTTGTTGATATAAATGATTTCGATATAATATTCTTAATTAAAAATATTAATAATTAGAATATTGAATAAAAGTTTAAATTTTACTAAGATCTCAAGTAATAGGAAAACTATTAGGTTTGTATTATTTGAGCATAATAACATCTCAGTACTTTTCATATTGTATATTATGAGGGTGAAAGGATCGCAAACCTGGAAAATTCTCGATGCATATCTGAATACTCTGAGTGCAATATATAAATTACGATCGTGTTCTATTAAACTGCTTTTTTTAGTAATAATAGCATTCGATTATGTATACATAGTAGAATTCGATTAAATGAAAAGATTCTTTACTAAATCTCATTCGATATTTAATTATATCAAACAAATTCCTATTTACATATATATATATATATTATTTGCTAGCAGAAATTTCAAGAAACCTCAAAAATACATGTATGTGTAAACTTTAAACATGTCTGTCTTCTACTATAAAAACAAATAATCAGTTTGAATAAAATCTCACTCATGTTGTTGCTGTTGCTGTTGTTGAACATAATGTTCATTATTATTATTGTTATTATTATTATTTGTATTTAATATTTCATGATCATTAGATATATGATGATGATGATGATGACTTAAATTTGATGTATTCATTGATTCATCGTCATCATCATCATCCTCATCATCTTCATCATCGTCACCATCAGATGGTTCTTCATGTCCTTCAAAAGCAGCCATAATTAATTCAACAATCTAATAACAAAAAAATATCTTTATCTATTTATGGGATTTTTTATATTAACAAACTTCATTTTGATTTGTTTGTTCATGAACAATATCTTCATTATCTTCTTCATCAAAATCATTTTCATTAAGCCCAATTGAATCAGGTAAAAACATACTAACACCTGAATTAAATTCCATTTCAAAACGTTTTATTTTCTAATTAAACTACTAGCACCATCGAAGTTTTTTTTCTTCTCTTCTCTTCTTTTCTCCTTTCTTAACCGCATTTTTTCTTTTCATGAAATTTTCTCGTCTGACCTTGTTACTATAGTTACCGTCATTAGAGGAGGAAAATTAATATTCAATATTATTTTCATGAAAATTATCAAGATTTTCATTTTATTTATATTAAAAATCATAAAATTTAAAAATAATTATAATACGACCTCTATCTCTTGACTATAGAGTGTCGCTATACAACATAGATATAGTATTTTATTTAACTTAAAGATTTTTGTTAATTAGATAAAATTCTTATATTGGAAAACAAAATGAACTTGAAGTTTTGTTTGTTATTGTTATGAAAGAAATAATGAGCAAAATACAAAAGCAACAGACGTCATTACGTTCTATTTTTTCATTCCTGCCTGCTGCTGTTAAGATATTTAGGTAATAAGTTAATCTTACATAAGAAAAAGTTTCAAAAAAAAAAGAAATCTGGTCCCTATGAGGATCGAACTCATGACCTCCGCGTTATTAGCACGGCGCTCTAACCAGCTGAGCTAAGGGACCTGTTGTCATATAATCATTCAAATGATTAATCGATATGGATTACATATATGACACTGGTTCTATAATTTATTATTGATTAATTCGTGATACTAAAAATCACTTTTTTTTCACGCGTATAGAAATGAAGATTATCGCAACTATTCTTTTTCCTATTAAATTCATTGTTATAATACTCAATTCTCAAAACAATTGTTGCAGGATTAAATTCAAGTGGTTATTTTTCTATTTTTCATATAGATATGAAAAAACAATCGATTAAGATCATGCGTTATGTAAAAATCTATCGCTTTCATAGATTATCAGTTGAAATAGAATCATATAGTTCAATTTTCTTTGAAAAATGACCGGAATCATCTGTGACACTTCATAAACAATCATCCAATTAGATTTTTTTTCAATAAGTAAATGAATACTTGTTCGGTAATTAACTATACATTTAGATAATCTTACTATTGTCTAAAAAAGTTCTAAAAGCATCATCTTTCTTCTTCTCCTTCTTTTTTGTCATATAATCAAACTTTCTCGATGAACATATTCTATTCTTTTAATATCATATAATAAATTAAAGCTCGATAAATTGATGTACACAAGAGACAAAAAGACGATAGACTTGTAATAGCAAAAAAAATCGATTTATATCCATCATTTACATATGATTAGAATATTTATAAATTTAATCCAACTAGATATATATAACTATTTCATAAGAATAAAATATATGACAGTTGATGAACGTTGAAACTTTTTCTTGTTGAATAAATATCTTTTAAAAGATGACATTATTACTCAACGACCTTGCTATTGACTGAACAGGAAATTATTTTCATGAGAAAATCACAACTGAATTTTTTTTTTCAATAAGGATATCATTATTTCCTTTTTTTTTCTTTTGTATTATAGACTAATACCATCATCATTATCGATACTTATGATATAATGAACCAACTTCTTGCGTCTCTTCAAAGGATATAAAGACAAGCAAATTCTTACATTCAAAAGTATCGTATAAGAAAGACATGTTGCGCACATGAATAGTACAATTAAAATTAGAGAATATCTATATATATATAAACGTAAAGAAAAAAAATGATCTTTAGATTTCTTTTTTTCTTCTTCATAAATGCATGCATGTGTCAATGTCCGGAATCTCAATCTGTTAAACATATAGATAAATATATACATTGTGTGCATGTGTTTGGTTTTCATGGAAGAATAAAAATTGCCTCGGGTAAATCTCCAAGTTGTCAATAACCTTTGATTACAGACATTTTCTTCAATAAAATCTTTACCTGTCAGTTAAGTGAGAGAGAAAAAAAAGAAGTAAATTCGAATTAAGTTTTTATTAGACATGCAATTTTGTACTTTTTATGATTTTCTTGTTTCTGTCTCTCTCCCTCTCCTTTTTGTTATTGCCATTTCCTCTTCTATCTTTGCTCTTGTCTTCAATCACGATGAAGAGAGAGAGAGAGAGAAACGAGAGAATGAAGGGGAAAAAAGAAATAAATAGATAGCACACTCGTCAGATACACATGCGAACGTCGAAATGATCCATGATCGGAAGTGACACACTTAAAAAATACTTTTTTTCTACTTCTGCTATTCATTGGAAATCATCTTTTTCATTCATACTTACTTTTATCATTATCATTGTTTCATCATTTATTTAATATTATCTCTATGGTAAGATAGGAAAAAAAGAAGAAGAAGAAGAATTATAAGAACGTGTTTTTTTTTACAATCATGGCTGATGTTGTTCATCGTATTAATGAATTAACACATACACGTCTATCATGGTTTGGTTGTTCTGATGATGATGCATGTAATCGTCTCAATCATCGTCATACTGTTTTAATGTTATTAATCTTTTCTGCTATTCTTACTTCACGTTTATTTATTTCGGATTTAATTATCTGTTGGACACCTGGTGAATTTACAGGTAATTAAAATTAAGATTTTTTCTTTTTCTGTATATATATTAAAAAGAGCAAAAAGAAATCATCTATTGATTGACAGGTTAATTAAACTGTTGAACTGTTGTAGTCTATATGTCTAGAAATATAAACATAAGTATATTCGTCTAAACAATAAAGAGTAAAGTATGACAGACTTGACACATATATCAATGATGACTACTATCATTATGAGAAAGATAAATGAACTTAAAGCTTGACATGACATTTAATGGTATATCTATGTATCTGTCTTCATACAAATCCCCTTCGGGTATAATATGAACTTTGAATGAAATAAATTGATTTTTGTTCTTTAAGGTAATTTTGTTTCTTATACTCGTCATTATTGTTATGTAACAAATACTTATTATATATCCGTAAATGAAACAATTCCAACATTAAGTAATTCTCATATACGTCGTAAACGTTCTATTTATTATTATCAATGGTTACCGATATTACTTGCATTTCAATCATTATTATTTTTAATTCCACGTTTAATATGGAGTAGTTTTAGTTCACGTTGTGGAATTAATTTACAACATTGTTTATCACCACAATTTGATTATCGAACAAGTCGTTATAAAGTTCATCATATAACAACAATGCTACATCTATTATCACGTGCTAAACATCATGATTATGATCGTATGACATCAACAAATACATCAAACCATACAAGTTTTACAGCCAATATGCATTTATTAAAAACATTTTGTATTCCATTTATATTTTTAAATGAAAATCCATTTCATGGATATTATTTAGCTAATTTATTTCTTATTGTTAAAATACTTTTCTTAATTAATTCATTATTACAATTAGTATTTTTAAATACATTATTAACAAAAAATTCCATTTTTTATGGTCTTGAAGTTCTTGAAAATTTTTATCGTGGTGAATATATTGTTGGCTCAAGAATATTTCCAATAAGTGTTTATTGTGATTTTAATATTATTAAAATTGGTCAACCAACATTATATACAGTAAAAATTATTCTTCTTAATAACAAAACAATAAACTATTATTTATTTTCTAGGTACAATGTTTATTACCAATGAATGTATTTAATGAGAAAATATTTACTATTATTTGGTTTTGGTTAGTTTTTTTAACCATAACAAATTTAAAAAGTGTTTTATTAACAATACTTCGAAGTAATTTTCAACAATTTAATTATTCTTATGTTGCAAATTATTTAGATTTATATTCAAAACGTGAACGTTTTAAAAGACATATACTTGTTAAACGTTTTGTATTTGATTATTTATCAGCTGACGGCATATTAATATTAAGATTAATATCAGAAAATATAAGTGATTTATTAACAAGTGAAGTTATAAATGAACTTTGGAATGAATATAAAAAAATCTCAAATTTATCACCAGCCAATAGAGAAAAATATCAACGTTTAAGATTAACAAGTCCACAAACGACAGATATGGTAACTACAGCAACAACGAGAAATATGCATTATCGTCCTATGTTTAAATAAATCTTCATCCGAAGAATAACAATTTTATTGTTATAGTTTTTTTCTTCTTCTCATGAATGTATTTTAGTGTAAAGTTTTGTTATAATAGTTGTTGATGATTGACATTTTTTTTTGTTAATATAAAAGTAATATATAGAGATACGTTTTGATTTTGTCAAATGAAACTTTACTAAACGATAGAAGTCAGCGTATATTATATCAAGTTTAGTTATATATCATTTGGTTAGATTAGCCGATAGAGAAGAATAACGCATAGAAGCAATGAATATACTGACCTTGATATATATGTTCTTCTTAGCGCCTTCTAGTACTTCCGAGCTGCGGAAATAAGTCTTTTGTTCCTGGTTCTATATCTATAAAAATCTTCAAAAGACTATCGTAATATTCACATCATATATTAGATTACTTTTATAAGAAAGTTTCAGCTTTTCACAACTTGACAAATTAAGAATCGATATAAATTAAAAGACATAAGTATTATAGATCTATCAATAGAATAAGAACAATAACATCATAATCGTGTGATACAAAACATGCAAGATATGCATAGACTCTTGTTATCTTTTTTGTCTATGATTTATATTGATATTTTTTATTTTTAATTAACCTTTTCATGGGCGAATTTTGACTGATCGGTTTCTGTCAATTTTTATGACAGTATTATCGTTCTTTTTATCGGAGCCACTGTTCCTAATGTATTATAGCTATGTGATCTAAAACAAAATATAGAGTATCAATACTTCATTGAAGTAACTAATAAATAAAATAAACATTCTTTGTAACTATACATGAGTAGAATTCAACTTGATGATAAATATTATGTATAATCAATCATCTTCTATATAAATCTCGAAGAAGAATTCTTAAGAAAATTCAGAAAATGATTTTATTCATTTTCTTTTCTTCTCTAATGATTGACGTACTACTCCAGAGACTTTTTCTAACGACAATTGGATCTA